CCACCTGGTGGTCCATGATGCTGTTTTGACTGCATGTCCCTCCTCTGTCCCACCCCAGGGGCAAACCGCATCAACCGGGAACACAAATAAGCTCTGTATGGTGCAGACCGCCCGGGCACACCGGCTGGACAAGCTGGTGGAGCACCTGGTGCCCGCCTTCCTGGGCAGGGACCCTACCTTCGTCCCCACCTTTCTCCGGAACTACAGAACTTTCGCCACCACCCGACAGGTGTTGGACCTACTATTGACAAGGTGAGCACCTGCCCCTCCACAGCACAGTGGTCATCCGGGCACTTGCTAGCTGTGAGTCTTCAGAAGGTCACTGCATCTCCCTGAGTCTGTGTGCTCCTCTGAGCAGCGGGGTGAACCCAGGAGCAAACTCATAGGATTTTTATAGAAACCTGGTGAGGTCCTCCCTGTAACGTGCTCTCTGGGGGCCTGGCCATTGGAGAAGTCTGCGGGAATGGCGGTGGTTGTACTAATTGGTCATTTTCTCTTCCTCATGATGAAGCCTCTGCCTCATCCCTCACTTTCCTCGGGGCCTTGGGCTGAGCTGTTTTCTCATTTGAAAAGGAGATTGGAGATTTCATTAGGGTTCTCTGTCTTGGGTGAAGCCAGAGCAGGAATCCCAGGGGTGAGCAGCGGGCTAACTGAGATACCTGTGATGGGGCTCGTTCATTCAGCAAATATATCGGCAGGTGCAGGCATGTTCTAGGCACTGACCATAACCCAGTGCACAGAGCAGACCCCAGCCCTGCTTTCCAGAGCTTCCTTGTAGTCGGGAGTGAGACAGTCACACTAGACTTCACAGGCAGGTGGTGTCCACAGGGCAGTCGATGTGACGTCTTCCTGGCCTCCTCTAGGTATGGCTGCATCTTCCCGTATGCTGAAGAGGATGGTGGGCCTGTGGACCAGCAGAAAAAGTGAGTGGGCTTTGGATCAGAGCCATGAGGGGAGTATAGGGACTAAGAATTGGAGGTGCTGGCAGAACCCTGCATCCCACACATCGTGGGATTTCTGCAAGAGGGCCCGGGTCTGAGGACTTTACCTAGAAAAAAGGGAAGGTCAAAGAGAGCTTTGGATGTGGATTGGGTGGTGGGAGAGCATTGGGAGGTTAGTGGACAGAGTCAGCCCCTCAGAAAATCCATCCCCATCCCCTCCCCACCCAGCCCTGCATCCACTCCCCCACCCTGGGACCCAGAACAAGAGGTGTGGGGGGCACCCTGCTCACTAATCTGGTAGAACCTCCACAGTGGGTGCTTGGCTGGTGCTCCCCGCCTGTGGGAGTTGAGTGTCAGTGGGAGGAGAAGGGCCACACAGGGCACCTAGTGAATCAGTAGCACGTTGGTGCAGGAGCTAAAGTTTGAGGTGTTAGGGCTGGAGAAAGAGTCCATTTATTTGCTCATCAGTCAGATATTCCTGGAGCACCTACTGTGTGTCAATGAGTGCAATGAACAAAGCAGACACCACCCCTCCTGCCCTCATGGAGTTGACCTTCCAGGAGGAAGGGGGCAGGGACACTGACAAAGTGAGCCGGTCTTCTCTGAAGATGGGGACAGATGGTCACACTGTTACTGGACAGGGACCAGCCTGGAGCAGGTCTGCCTCAGGCCGGCCTGTAGTGTGTGGGTTCTTGACTTTGTGTAGGAAAGATTTCACAACACAAGCCCTAGCCAGTTTGGCTCAGTGGGTATAGTGTTGGCCTGCGGGCTGAAGGGTCCTGGGTTTGATTCCGGTCAAGGGCACATGTTACAGGCTCCATCCCCTGGGGGGGGGGGTGTGTGTGCAGGAGGCAGCTGATCAATGATTCTCTCTCATCATTGATGTTTTCTATCTCTCTCTTCCTCTCTGAAATTAATAAAAATATATTTTTTAAAAAAAGGAGGTGGGGGGGCCTTGGAGACAGGAACCAGAGCCTGGGTGGAGCTACTGCTGCCTACTGCTCCCCTGGTTGCAAGTCCTGTCGGGACCCCTAGAGCTTAGGAAGAAATAAAAAGTTCATGCTCAGGAAGTGGCATGGGCGTGAGCCTTTGTCCTGAGGGCTTTCATTCTTTCTTTTTATCTTTTTTTAAAAAAAATTTTTTTTTTTATTTCAGAAAGGAAGGGGGAGAGAGGGAGAGAGACATAGAAACATCAATGATGATAGAGAATCATTGAGTGGCTGCTTCCTGCATGCCCCCGCACTGGGGACCAAGCCCGCAACCCAGGCATGTGCCCTTGGACTGGAATCGAACCCGAAGACCCTTCAGTCCCCAGGCCACCAGGGCTGTCCTGAGGGCTTTCTATCCCTTTTTGGTTCTGCAGGCCAAGAATCTTAGGGGAGGGTTTCAACAGAGTATTCATTAGCTTTCCAGGTGTATTTTTTTAATATGCTGATGCATTAAAAGGAGTGTATAGGGGAGTTTTGGGTTCTTCTTTGGCCTGTTTTACTGTTATCTTAGGTCTGTCTGTCTTTAATGGTTTTTATTATTATTATTTGTTCCCCAACTTCATCTGCCCTTGGGGTTAGCTGGCAGAAATGGCATTAACTAGGTCTTTGTTCTATTTTCCCAGGCCAGAGTGATTTAAGCTAGGGAGGAGAGGTACAAACCATTTGCTCTCAAGTGTCCTTGGTTGAGGAAGATAAGGTCTTGCGATGAATTTTCTTGTCTCAGTTTCCCCATTGCACGTACCCAGGGATTTTCCTAGCTTCTTACTATGCTGCCACACCACCATTGGTTAAGAGCTCTCCGTCACTAATACAAAATAATGTTGGATGTCACCCGTAATTGAAAAATAAAATTTAAAAAAAGAAGTCTACTTAATTACTCAAGAAAGCATCCACACTATATTGAGTCTCAGGTTATTGTCAGTTTATGGAAAGGAATATACATAATTATCCATATTTTGTCAGAAAAAAATAGAGACTAGAGGAAAATACATGTAAATATTAACAATGATTATTTCTGGGGAGTGATATTGTGGGTGATTGCAACTTTCTCCTTTATAATTTTCCACATTCTAAAATATCTACAGTGAACATTGATTACTTTTCTAAAATAAAAAACCTGATAAATATATATATAAAAAAAGGAGCTCTCAGTTATGAAGGCTTTGGCCAGCCCCTCCTTCCTGGCCAGGTAGACCTCTGCCAGGACTGCCAGACTGAAGGTGGGAAGGAGTAGGTCTGGCTTCTAGATGGACAGGAGCAGGAGGCACAGGACCCCGGGCTCCCACAGGGACACTGGGGCGGTTAGTGTGGAAGGACAGGCCAGGCCTCAGACTCTGCTGCCCACGTCTCTCCCCAGGGCCATCATCTCCATCCTGGGCATGTGGCTGGACCAGTGCCCTCAGGATTTTTTCCAGCCCCCAGACTTCCCAGGCCTGGTGATGCTGCTGGCCTACCTGGAGCTCAATTTCCCAGGCTCAGCCCTGGAGCGCCAGGCCCAGCTGCTCCTTTCGGAGCTGGAGCGCCGCGAGCCCGCAGAGGCGGAGGCAGAGGGTGAGGAGGCCACGGGGAGGTGATGTGGGCCTGTGGGGAGGAATTGGGGCTCGGCCACACAGAGAAGAGCTTTTAGAGGCCAGGGGCAGAGCCGGCTCAGATCACTGTCCCCATGGCCTGCAGTCTGGGAAGACTTCCTGGGGTGGGCTCTGGCACTGGGACTCCATCGATGGACAGGAGAGATGGTCTGTCTTTGGAAGGCACATCGAGGCAGTCATGGTGGTAACATGTTCTCTTCTGGGATCTACAGAACCAGCTCCAGAGCCAGATAAAAAAAGACCTCAGGAGGCAACACCGACTCTAGTGGCCTCTCCAGAGCCAGAGCGGGCTCCGGGCACAGCTTTCACTGACCTTCAAGAGGCAGAAGAAGCAGCGTGTGGGCAACTGACTTCAGCTCCTGTGAGGCCCGTGGTCCCCGGTCCTGGGCCGCAACGTGTGTAGCTGCCATGACAGAGAGGGCTCCCCCTTGAGATGCAATTTTTGTTTATCATACATATGTTCAAATGTTTACTGTAGTTTTGTATAATATTCAGTTAAAATAAGATGTATTTTAAATAAAATCTAATAATATATTAATAAAAATAAACTTTAATTTTAATAAAATATAATTTAAGTCTATGATCCTTCAAAATGTAATTTCAGCAGCATTAAGTACATTCACAATTCCTTATGACCATCACATCACAATCACTCTCCAGTTCCAGAACATTCCCATCCAGGACAAACCCAGGACCTGTTACTCCTCATCCTCCCTACTCGATCCCTGTCAATCACTGATCTCTTTCTTTTCTTTTTAAAAATTTTTTTAAAAAAATATGTATTTTTATTGATTTCAGAGAGGAAGGGAGAGGGAGAGAGATATAAAAACATCAATGATGAGAGAGAATCATTGATTAGCTGCCTCCTGCTTGCCCCCTACTGGGGATCAAGCCCGAAACCCAGGCATATACCCTGACTGGGAATCAAACAGTGACCTCCTGGTTCATGGGTTGATGGTCAACCACTGAGCCACACTGGCCTGGCTAAATTTTATTTTCAATTACAGTTTACATTTGGCTGGCCAGGTTCTATGTTGGTTTGACCAGCTGGTGGCCTTATTAATTTGGAGGGTTAAAATGATCATGAGTAAAAAGGGATAAAAAAAAATAAGCTGAGCCCTAGCTAGTTTGGCTCAGTGGATAGAGCGTCAGCCTGCAGACTAAAGGGTCCTGGGTTCGGTTCCAGTCAAGGGCACATGCCTGGGTTGTGAGCTCAATCCCCAGTGGGTGGCTTGCGGGAGGCAGCCAATCAATGATTCTCTCTCATTGATGTTTCTAACTCTCTCTCCCTCTCCCTTCCTTTCTGAAGTCTCTCTCTCTCTCTTTCTCTCTCTCTCTCTCTCTCTCTATATATATATATATATATTCAGAACATATATATATATATTCTGAAAAAATGGTCATTGTAAAAGTTAAATATAAACACTCCTAAAAAATAGCTGTGATTCCCCCAAAACAAAATCTACTCCCTTTTTATTATTGATGAATACTTAGTTCATTTATGAGGACCACCGTGTTACAGGACCTTTTCTAGTCATTTTCCTTCCATGATTCTGCTGACCTCACGGCACTGTTGAAAGTAATTTTTACCATTTCTTTGAAAGTTGAGGAAACTGGGAGTGAGAAAAGTAAGGTTATTTTCAAAGATCACACAGCTAATAAGTAGCAAGACCTGGATTCTGTCCCAGGTGGATCTCACTTCTAATCCAGGCTTTTATCTGTGATGATACAGACAGTTTCTTGTGAGGATTAAATGAAATAAAGCATGTTGAACATTTAACACAGTCCCTGATACACAGCAAGTCCCCAATACTGTTTGCTTCTTTAAAAAAAAATATTTTTATAGATTTCAGAGAGAGAGAGAGAGAGGGAGATAGAAACATCAATGATGAGAAAGAATCATTGATTGGCTGCCTCCTGCACACCCCCTCCTGGGGATCAAGCCCGCAACTAGGGCATGTGCCCTTGACCAGAATTGAACCCAGTACCCTTCAGTCCACAGGCCAATGCTCTGTCCACTGAGCCAAACCGGCTAGGGCTGCTTCTTCTTCTTTAAAAATATATTTTTACTGATTTCAGAGAGGAAAGGAGAGGGAGAGAGAGATAGAAACATCAATGATGAGAGAAAATCACTGATTGGCTGCCTCCCGCAAGCCACCCACTGGGGACCAAGCCGGCAACCCTGGCACCTGCCCTTGACCAGAATCAAACCTGGGACCCTTCAGTCCACAGGCCTACGCTCCGTCCACTGAGCCAAACTGGCTAGGGCGCTTCCTTTTTTTAAAATCCCTTTTACCTCATGATCATTTTATCCCTCCAATTTAACAAGACAACTAGCTGGTCAAACCAACATAGAACCCAGGATAAATTTATAAGCCAATTTGTAGTGAAATGTACTTTTATGATATTTTCAGAGAACATGAAATTGTTTTCCCTGTGATTCTTTTGTCTACAGAATGTTTTTCATGTTCTTAATCCTGAAATGCAGGATTTGGGACAATTGTAGTAATCCTTCAGGTGCCCACTAGAGGACAGAAGAAAGTCAGGCAACATCTGAGAAGAAATAGTCAGGGACCAGTAGTCCTTGATTCTAGGATAGACCTTCCTACTATGGGAAACTCAAACACCAGAGTCTGAGAATTGTTTTGATTAAGCTCATTATTTTTAAGTTAAATAATGGATCAGAAATCTCTCCCAACGTTTTTTGTTGGTGGTGTTTTTTTTGTTTGTTTGTTGTTTTTTTTTGCCTTTCAAAGGTAGTAAGGGGACAATTTTCATTTTATCATTTTGTATTTATACTTCTATTTTGGTTCTCATGTAATTCTGCATTATATTATTTTTATTTGCTTTCGTGCTTGGCATCAACCACCATTATATGTAAAACTTTTGAAGGCTGATGTCGTGAGAAGCTCATTGGAATGACACTAAGTCTCTGCCCTTTCCCCTCAGGGCTATTGTTAGTTCTTGGTAAGAAACAACAGACTGAGAAGCTGGGGAAGAGGGCAGCTGCTAAGAGTCAGAGAAAACAGAACCACTAAGTAACCTCATGGACCCGGACAGGAGAAAAAATGAAGAAGAGGAAGAGGAACAGAAAGGAGGAGGAGGGGAGGAAAAGAAGCATCGGGAGGAGCAGGAGAAGAGAAGAAGGAGGAGAAAGACAGGTGGTTGTTTTTCCAGGGAGTGTTAATCCATTATGTGACTCTACAACGGTTTGTATATCACTTCTCTGTTGATGGACATGTGGGTTTTATCCAGCTTTTCCCTGGTACACATCACATTGGTCTGAATGTTTTTTTAAGAACCCTTTTTGGATATATGCATTCATTTTTCTTGGGAAGTAAATAGAAGGGATATTACCAGGTGACAGGGTAGGTATATTTTTAACTACGGGAGCTGCCAAACATTTGGAAAATGGTGGTGCTCAAATACAGTCCAATCAATATCACATGTAACCTCAGACAATACGCAGTCCTGGGATTGAGAGAAAAAAACAACTTTAAAAATCTATTTTTCTAGGGTATGTGTCTTCACCG